GCAATTTGGCAATCTAACTTTAAAGAATGCAGGTCCATCTTGCAACTCCATGCTTGATTTTTACAGAGTAACACACAAATACATTATGATTCCAATTTTGTATTCTTGCAACAAAAACAGAAGTTGCTGGAAAAGTGCAGCAGGTCTGTCAGCATCTGTGAAGAAAAAGTCAGAGTTAACGTTTCAGGTCCGGTGACCCTTCCCCACAACTGATGGTAGTTGGGAAAACGTCAGTTTATATGCAGAAAATAGAGAGGGCGATGGGGTAGGGAGTAAACGATAGGATAGAGCCCGAAGAGAGAGAAGAGCAGTTGGATAGACAAAGGAGTTGATAACGATGTGGCTAGGAAGATGAATAGTGTTAATTCAGACTGATAGTGACTAACAATAGGTAGTGTGTAATGGCAGGCTATGTGATAGGCTATTTGATTTACAGCATCTGCAGTTTTTTCAGTTTTTATTTAATATTTAACTCACTGCCACATCTCTTCCAGGCATGCCCAACTTGGAGAAGTTCTGCTCCTCTCTCCAACGGGGATTTCCGTTCCAATCTCTCTTCTTGCCCACCGACATTAATTTCACTGTCAGTACTGTGTTTGACCAAGTATTTGCCAAAACTCTTTTCCACAGCCATATCATATTCCTCAGTGACTGCCTTTCAGCTCACACTCATCCCACATGGATTCCAACTGAAGTTTCATCCCTCATGTTTTGAATCCTCCCAGGATCACCGGTATCTCTGTAATGTTCCATGTTCCATGGACAGCTGCTCTCGCTGCATCCTGAGATTCACACTCAGTGCCATGCGGCGTCATAAGCACACTCTCAACCTTTCCCTCCAACAGCATCGCATCACACTGGCTCAAGGCTGCACCACTCCGCAGTTCCACTTCATCCTCCGGCTCATTTGTCGTGCTAACAAGAAACTTTTTATTTTCCTTTCAGGCATCAATGCCCACAAGATGCAACAACTCAAAGATACTCATGGCCCTCTGGAACCTTCCTCTCCTTCCCTTCCCTCTGACTCTATCCCCTCCCCAAAGCACCCCCACCTCCTGTCGGGTATTCACCATCCCTCCTAACCTTCCGCTCTCCGATGCTGAATGCTCCGTACTCAGCAAAGGCCTCAGCTTTATTCCTCTGCATCCCCACCTTAACGAATTTCGGGCACGACATGACGTTGAACTCTTCTTCCGCCATCTTCGCCTCTGGACCCATTTCTTTGGACAAGAGTCCTCTCCCCGTCTCACAGATCCCTTCGCCCCGTTCCAACACTCTCCCTCCGCCTGGACCCCTCCCTCCGGCCTCTTACCTGCAGTTGATCTGTTCATTGAAAACTGTCGATGTGACATTAGTCACCTCAATTTCACTGCCCTCTCACCAAATCCAACCTATCTCCCTCCGAACTGACTGCATTCCATGCACTCAGATCTAACCCTGACTTTGTCATTAAGCCTGCCAATAAGGGTGGTGCTGTTGTAGTCTGGTGTACTGACCTCTACCATGCAGAGGCTGAGCACCAGCTCTCAGATACCTCCTCCTACCTTCCCCTGGACCATGACCCCACCATGGCACATCAGGCCATTGTATCCACTATGGTTACTGATCTCATTTCATCCAATGATCTCCTCCCCCTCTCTGCTTCCAAGCTAATAGTCCTCCAAACCCGCACAGCTCGTTTCTACCTCCTGCCAAAAATCCACAAACAGGACTGTCCAGGTAGACCCATTGTTTCAGCCTGCTCAAGCCCCACAGAACTCATCTCTTCCTACCTTGACTCAGTCTTCTCCCCTCTGGTCCAATCCCTACCCACATACATCCATGATTCCTCTGATGCCTTATGCCAGTTTCAAAACTTCCAGTTTACCAGTACCAGCCACCTCCTCTTTACAATGGATGTGCAATCTCTTTACACATTCATTCCCCACCAGGAGGGTCTTAGGGCTCTCCGCTTCTTCCTGGAGCAAAGACGTGGATCGTTCCCACCCACCACCACCCTCCTCCGCTTGGCCGAGCTCATCCTCACCCTTAACAACTTCTCTTTCAACTCCTCTCATTTTCTTCAGGTAAGAGGGGTTGCCATGGGTACCCTCATGGGCCCTAGTTATGCCTGTCACTTAATGGGGTACGTGGAACATTCCTTGTTGCAGTCCTATTCTGGATCCCACCCACAACTCTTTCTCCAATACATTGATGATATCATCAGTGCTGCTTCCCTCTCTCGTCTGGAATTGGAAAAGTTCATCAATTTCGCCTCCAATTTCCACCCTGCCCTCATTTTCACCTGGTCTATCTCTGACTCCTCCCTTCCCTTTCTTGACATTTCTGTTTCCATTTCTGGGGATAGACTGGCCACTAATATCCACTATAAACCCACTGACTCCCACAGCTTACTTGGACTATACATCCTCAAACCCTGCTTCCTGTAAAGACTCCATCCCATTCTCTCAGTTCCTCTGTCTCCGTCGCATATGTCCAGATGAGGCCAACTTCAACAAGGGAGCCTCCAAAATGTCCATCTTCTTCCTCAACCGAGGATTCCCCAGCTCCATTGTTGACAGGGCCCTCAACCAAGTCCGACCCATCTCCAGCACTTCCACCCTCACCCCTTCTTTTCCCTCCCGCAACAGTAACAGCGTTCCCCTTATCCTCACCTACCATCCCACCAGCATCCACACACAGAAGATCATCAGACACCATTTCCGCCACCTCCAGTGAGATGTCACCACCAGACACATATTCCCCTCCTCTCCCTTGTCCATCTTCTGCAGGGACCGTTCCCTCCGAGACACCCTGGTCCACACTTCCTTCACCCCAACACCTCCCCACAGCCCTACAGCACCTTCCCCTGTAACCGGCGAAGGTGCAACACCTGCCCATTTACCTCCTCCCTCCCCAGTATCCAAGGGCCCAAACATACCTTCCAGGTGAAGCAACACTTCACCTGCACTTCCCAGAATCTAGTCTACTGCATTCACTGCTCACAATGTGGTCTCCTCTACACTGGGGACATGAAGTGTAGACTTGGCGACTGCTTCGCAGAACATCTACGTTCTGCTCTCAAAAAAGACCCTGAACTATCTGTTGCCTGCCACTTCAACGCACCACCCTGCTCCCTGGCCAACATCTCTGTCTCAGGCTTGCTGCAGTGTTCCAGCGAAGCCCAACGCAAGCTGGAGGAACAACACCTCATTTTCCACTTGGTGACCCTACAACCCTCAGGACTCAATATTGAGTTCAATAATGTTAGGGCCTAAACTCTCCCATGTCCCAGCCCCCCACCCCACACACCAGGCCTTGTTACCACATAGCCTGCCATTACACACCCCCTGTTGTTAATCACTAACAGTTCCCATTAACAACAATTCGCCCTCCCAGCCTGATCGTTAGCAACTCCTTTGTCTGTCCAACTGTCTTTCTCTCTCTTTGGGCTCTATCCTATCGTTTACTCCCTAACCCACCTCCATATTTTTCATATATAAACTGACATTTTCCCAGCCACCACCAGTTCTGAGGAAGGGTCACCGGACCCAAAATGTTAAAGCTGTTTTTTCCTTCACAGATGCTGCCAGACCTGCTAAGCTTTTCCAGCAACTTTGTTTTTGTTCCTGATTTACAGCATCCGCAGTTCTTTCGGTTTGTACTAAATACCATTATCCAGTTACTATTTGTGCAAGCCTTCTGGCTGAGAATTGGCTGTCATACATCTAACAGCATGACAGTGACTACACTTTAAGTACATTATTGGCTATAAAGTACTTCAGGATCATGAATGATGCAATTCAAATACAGGTGATTTCTTAAAGTCAGGTTGACATGCAAGCAAGTCTCTCCAGGTAAATCACTGTCTCGTGCATCTTCACTTCCTTTGTTGTCTTCAATTTATCTTCAGTACAATAAGCCTTTTTCTTGATGGGTGTGTAAAGGTCAATGTCTATTTGTCTTTTCTCTGTGTGTGGCGTCACTATTAATGCTCTCTTCATTTTTGTAACTAATTTGTCTATGAAGATGTTAAATGCTAATAGTCAATGAAGCAAAAGGAACGTGAATTAAAATTATAGTGGGATTAATGATGTGTTCAGTTTATGCTTGTGAGTGATTATGTCACACACTGACTCTCACTAGTTGGGAAGTTCGTACATCCACCAATTTGACATGAAGCCAATAATTAGCAACACACAAACTTCAAGTGTATTCTAATGCATTCAACAGACCGTTCTTGAGAACTAACCAAGCACAATCTTCTGAACATGTGGATTTACCTTCATTGTGAGATCTCACATGACAAAGCGAAGTGGTAACTTTGAACTGAATTTGAAGCTGTACTACATTAAACATATGAAATGAATAGTTAAAATACAACTAAAATATATAAACTGTTTTCCTCACGATAACTGCAACCATCGGGTGCCACAGTGGCTCAGTGGGTAGCACTGACTGCCTCACAGCACCAGGGACCCTGGTTCAATTCCAGCTTCGGGTAACTATCTGTCCGGAATTCTCGTGTTCTCCCTGTGTCTGCATGGGTTTCCACTGGGCGCTTCAGTTTCCTCCTACAGTCCAAAGTCATGTAGCTTAGGTGGATTGGCCATGTAAATGTGGGGTTATGGGGATGGAGTGGGTCAGGGTAGGATATTCTTCAGAGGGTCAGTTCAGACTCAACAGGCCAAAGGGCCTCTTTCTGCACTGAATGGATTCTATGTCTGAGTTTGCAATCTTGCAATATTACAGTCCAGGCATCAATTCCATTCATGTCTCTCTATGATCTTCTGTTAGTGTTGCTTGAACAAATAATGATTGTATTTTTATTGAGGCTTTAAGGGAGCTTCTGGTCTGATTTGATGCAGGATAACAGTAAAAGGAATAAAAATTTATGTAGGTAGATAGTAGAGACAAGATCTTTCTGATGCTCAGTATGAGGCTGGATTCTGCATAGTGACAGCATTACATGGACAAAGTGTCTTCTTCAAACACTCAATCACCTGTCAAAAACATTCAAATGTTTTAAATCTGCATTTTTTTTTAATAAGCGTTACAAGTAAAATAAAACAAATACAACTGGTCACTTCTCCCCCCCACTCTGAGTTGTCATCTTGTGGCGATATCAGGTTGGGATGAAAGGATGAATGATGGTGAGCATTCCAATCATTGAAGGTCTTTTCTTAACTCTCCTTCTTCTTATCAGGGTTGTCCCTCCAGATACAATAGGTAAGAGCCGTGGCAAGAGTGAGCCAAGCCAGATATGGCACCATAAGTAGTGTGGCTGTCTTGTTAATAGGATACCAGGATACCATTGTCCCCACCACAGTGCCATATAGAAAAAACGCTTCAATTAAGGCCTAAGAAACACAGGAGAAACAATAAGATGGAGCATTGATCAGGCAATTACGATCACACATTTGTTTCATGAAAATTCTGTAAACATGATCACAATGAACTAGACCAGGCAAAGTCCATTCAGGCCAGAAAAGCCTGGACTTGGATGAATGCTCTCCAATATCCAAATTAGATATATCCCAATATCTTCGAGTCCAATATCCTCCATTCTATTTGATTACAGTGCATCCTCTTCACCAATATGCTTTAGAGTCAATGAAAACATTTATCACACCCTTGGCCACTGATCCTGAATACCAACACTGATGTCACCGGGCCATCAATCTGACCAACTCCATGACTGAGTGGACCTGGGTCAGAAAAGAAAGCAAGTCCACGACAGAAAGAAGGCGTTTGTAAAACTAAGTATTAATATCATTGACAACAATTAACGCCTTCACAGCAGACTGGAGATTGGTTGAATTTTGCTGGGTGAAGCCATTATGGCTTATAGAACCAAGGTGGACAGATGGAGTTCAGATCCAGGTCAGTCACTTACTACGCTTATGTATAGCAGAGCTAAAGTAAGGAAAGAATAGAAGAAAGTTCTAAATGTTTAATATAATGGTAATAATCCAAGGAAGACACTAATATTTACCAGGTTTAACCTGTGTGTCCCAAAGAATATTGGAGTAAATGCCCAATTCAAAGCCAACTGAGTGCCATACAGACCAAGTGGAATGAGTGCTCCATCTGTGAAACCTCCTAGATCTCTCCATATCAGATATGAGGCATACCTGTGAAAACAATTTATCAGACAGAAGCAGAGATACTTCAGTGAGAAAGAAGGCTGTTTCAGGTAGCAATGTGCTAATTAGTCCTTCCATCAACGGACTTTTCCCTACAGCTTGGATTTCTTAAAACTACTCATGTTTATAAATTAAATCATCCTGTTTTACTAATGAGATTTCTTGCTCAGGGCGTGACGATTTTACCCTCTTCATCGATGTTTGCTTTCACTATATCATACTGACTTAGTTACATGTTAAATATATCTTTAAAAACTCCACTGTACTGTTGTGCCGTACTGGACAGTGCTAGTTTACCAATGTCCTGCAGGCTCCTGCTTTCGTGTTAAGAATTCACGTCACTGAAAGCATGTAGCAGAGTCCCAATAAATCCTTACACCAATGTGGTGTAGAATATTTCCTATCGCTTTCCTCATTATTGTGGGCTCAACAGAACCATACTCACCCCATTCCTGTGTATAAAGTGGCCCAAGCTACAGAGATCACCTTATTGGGTGGCCGCCATGATGGTTTCTTCAGTTGTTCATACCAATTCGACACTTGTGACCGTACCAGATACCAGCCAAATAAACCTCCGAGATGGGGCAATGTGGCAGATCCGACAATCTGAGCCCACACGGGAACCATGCTCTTCACAGTCACTAAAGGCAATTAATATTTCCAGTTTCCCGAGAAAAGAGAACAAACATTAAATTCAAATTGAACAGTGTATTTCACTGCACTTCTCAATATACTCACTCAATTCTACAGATACACTAATTAACGTCAACTCAAGCAAATGGAAATGGTTGATGTGGGTACATTGAATATTTGCCCACAGTTTAGATCCTGTTGCAAGCTTGAATGAAGAATATATTTAAAACAATATTTTACACTCTGCTGTGTTTAAACAACACAAAATGATATCCAACAGGTTGTATCGCAGGTAGAACCTAGCCTTCAGCTCTGATGAAGAGTCATCTAGACTCAAAACATTAGCTTGCTCTCTATCCATGGATGCTATCTGAACCCATTGTGATCTCCAGCATTTGTTGTTTTCAGTAATAGGATACATGACATAGTATCATTACATTTTGCTCTGAAGACAAATCAAAACTAAGAAAGGTCTTGCAAATATATAGTGCCTTTCACATCCTCAGGACTGCTGTAAGCAGCTAATTTGCACTCAGCAAGCTCCTACTTAAGACTATAAGAGAATAATCAAGTCAATCCCTCTCCTGACGTTCTCCTTATGTCTAATACTAGGGGGCATGCATTTAAGGTGAGAGGGGGAAAGTTCAAAGGAGATGTAAGGGGCACGTTTTTTACGCAGAGAGTGGTAGGAGTCAGGGGTATTGGTGGAGGCAGATACGATAGGAGCATTTAAGGGACTTTAGATAAGCACATGAAAATGCCAGGAATGGAGGGATATGGACCAAGGGCAGGCAGAAGGGATTAGTTTAATTTGGCTTCATGTTTGGCACAATATCGTGGGCTATACAGCCCATTCCTGAGCTGTACTGTTCTACGTTCTAAGTCCAAAGTCCAAAGGTGTGCAGGGTAGATGGATTGGCCATGCTAAATTGCCCCATTATATCCAGGGATGTGCGGACTAGGTGGATTAGCCATGACAAATGGAGAGTTACAGGGATAGAGTAGGGGGTTGGGTCTGGGTGGGATGCACTTCAAAGGGTCATTGTGGACTTGATGGGCTGAATGGCCTGCTTCCGCACTGTAGAGATTTTATGAATCTATGGATTCTAAGGTTGCTTAGCGATGTTGATTTTGGGCTGAAACTAGGTGAGTAGAACTCTCTGGCTCTTCTTCGAATAGTGTCATAAGATCTTCTACATTGACCTGAAAGCAGAATGGGCCTGGGTTCAATATCTCAAGTGATAGCACCTCCAACGATGCAGTGCACCCTCAGGACTGCAATAAACTGTCAGACCAGATTATCTCATGCTCACGTTTCTGGAGTGGGACTTGAACTGATGGCTTTATGGTTCAGAGGAAAGACTGCCATCACTGAGCCGAGGTTATCAGCGGAGCCAAGTTTCAAAAATAATATGGGCTAATTAGACCAAGCCCCTTTCATCTTGTTAATGAATACTGCAGAACCACCAAGCTGCTTATCAGCTCTGCCACATGTCAGTTCCACCCCCACCACACCGGGAGTTAGCTTTCAGCTTTGGAAACTGGGCAGAGTAAATAAGGAGAAAACATTCCCACTTTGGAAGGACCAAGAATGAAAGGGGCTCAGATTTAAAGTAATTAATAAAGAAGCAAACAAGTAATTAAGATCTGGAATTCACTGCCTGAGAGTGTAATGGAGGTCATTTCAATCGAGACATGCAAATGGCAATTAGACAGTCATGTGAAAATGAATAAAGTGTAGGGTTATGGCGAAAGGGCTGAAGCATGTCACTAAGTGAACTGGCACAGTTACTTTACAGCAAGTGGCTTCTTTCATTAACAATTCTGTGGTTCCATTACGTTTACAAAAGCAAAACACTGTCAATATTAGAATTCTGAAATAAAAACCAGAAAATGCTGGAAACCCTCGATTGATCTCCGACATCATCTGCGGAAAAAGAAACAGAATTAACGTTTCTGGTCCATGACTTTTCATCAGAATTTCTGAAGCTGGCCTCTTCCTTCTGCATTTGAGGGGAATGCAGAACAATGCAGTCCCTCAGATTCTGCAATAGGACCTCTCTCGCTGTAAGAGTGAGACCCTCCTGGGGTGGGAGGGGACAGCCTTTCCCTGTCTCCTGACCATTCCTGAGGTTCCTGCAGCATCAGGAATCCAAGTCCACTTCTCTGACATGGATTGCCTTTCATTAGAAATTCTGCCTCTGGTTCACTCAGTGAGACACCCTGAACTGGCTGGGAAACCCAGAAGTGGGATGCCATTTTGCCCGCGTGTGAAAGTCCTCTCTAACCCCATCCTATCAAAACCTACCATGATGTCTAAAGATTCTCTCCAGATCACCTCGCAGTCTTTATTCTCCTAAGAGAGAGGGCAGCCCCAGTCTGAGACTAATCGGTCTCGCATGTGGACAGGAATCAATGTAAACAGAAAGTGAACTGTTGTTGGAACAAAAACAGCAAGCACTAACAGGTCAGACAGCCATGAGCGAAGCAAATATTTAGCAGCAAGCACTCTTTCCTACATCAGGTGCCTGGTATACATGCTTACAAGATGATCAGAGGATTAGACAGGGTGGACAGTGGGAGCCTTTTTCCTCGGATGGTGATGGCTAGCACGAGGGGACATAGCTTTAAATTGAGGGGTGATAGATATAGGACAGATGTCAGTAGATTCTTTACTCAGAGAGTAGTAAGGGCGTGGAATGCCCTGCCTGCAAAAATAGTAGACTCGCCCACTTTAAGGGCATTTAAATGGTCATTGGATAAACATATGGATGATAATGGAATAGTTTAGGTTAGATGGGCTTCAGATTGGTTTCACAGGTCGGCGCAACATCGAGGGCCAAAGGGCCTGCACTGCGCTGTAATGTTCTATGTTCTATGTTCTACGTTCTATGTTCAAACGAGTCTGCTGGACAGCACTTCACAATAGGCAGTTTCCATGGGAATCCCAGATCCCACATTGCAATTAGTGAAATTATAGGCAGTTGGTATCAAGTAGACCTTAACGGAGGGCCCATTACACAAGGTGAAACATTTCATGTTCAACACTAGACAGCCAGGATTATCAATTGGTGTGATGTGGGACACAGACCCCCAAACCTCCCCAACCCCCAAATCTGCAAAATATTACTGTACAATATACCGGGCAAGATATTGCTCTCTAGTTTCGAAGTTAAAATCTTTTGTAATGTACTTAAACAAATATTATGAATGTATTTGGAAAAATGCTGTTTTACAATGTTTAGTATAATACATTGCAATATTTTAATCTATTAACACTGTGGTCTGGAGAGCTAGGTACTCTGCTCAATATAAATCTGGAAACGTGGATTTTATGGCAGAGATTCAGCTTTAAGGGAAAAGAGGGAGATTTCTCTGAGTGACATGTTAGGACACAGTCCCTGTATGTTGGAGATTTAAGGGATTCCTTCTATATAATTCAGACTGGGGCTAGCTTCCCAAGGCTCAATGCCGGCCCATACTCAGTGACACTTACTGTCTGTCCTCTCAACATCAATCAGCACTGGGCTCCAAACCAGCAGTTCACTATCTGCTGCTGCTGCTAACTCTTCAGTTTCAACTCTTCCACTAGCATCTACCGTGCTCCAGAGTGCCCGACACACTCCGGGCTTCCTTACCTCCAAGAAAAGTTCTGAGAGTTGGTGCGTGTAGCCTCCAAAAGAAAACAGGAAACCAGGAACAAGAGCGTTAAGGATTTCTGGTAAATGATGAGATCTGCCTACTTCTGGCTTGCTCCTCCTGGGCGGAGCTGGGATCTGCTCGATGATACGTTGTTAAAATACAATCACTCCTTTGTTGCACCCATTAACCAGACCACTTCCTTCCTCAGTGAAGAAAAATCAGAGTTAACGTTTCGGGTCCGGTGACCCTTACTCAGAACTTGCTCGCCGAGCCCACTCAGAACCTTTACTGGGATCTTGTGACGTTGCAGTGTCCGCCACTATGTCTAGTACTGCTGCTGTATGAGTCAGTCACTCATTGGCTGTGGAAGCTTCTGCAAACACAAATCCCAGCGCAATTTCAAGTTCTTTAAGTCACACTCCCATCCAACTGGCATCTCAGTAATTTGCCACGCTGCTCTCTGAACCATATGAGGGAACCATTGACCAAGAAGTTGCTACCAACATGTACAATTAATAAAAAAAATTAACGTATCACACCAACATATTTGTTAGCCTCATGACAAATTTGGTTAGCTGCTTCCTTCCAGACGTTAGTCAATGAGTGTGTAAATTTCAGCTGAAAGAGGAAGTTAATTATACATGAGGTTTCAAGGTCACTGTCTCTTGGGGTCATAATCTGTTCTCTTCTAAAAGTGAAGAGTGGCAGACAGTGCCTGGTCATTTTCTAAAACAAACAATGATATAAGGTCCACAAAAAAATCGTCTGAAGGCATCCTGGCCAACATTTATCACTCAAACAACATCAAAAAGACTGAGGAAGGGTCACTGGACCTGAAAAGTTAACTTTTTTTTTCTTCACAGATGCTGGCAGACCTGCTGAGATTTCCCAGCAACTTCTGTTCCTGATTTACAGCATCCACAGTTCTTTCAGTTTTAAAAAAGACAGAATTGGCCATGGAGACATTGCTGTATATGAGAGCTTGGCCTACACAAATTGGCTGTGGCATTTTCTATCGAGCAACAATGATTACACTTCAAAAGTACTTCATTAGCTGTGAAGCACTTTGAGAAGTCCATTATTGGTGAATGGTGCCACATAAATCTATTTCCCTCAGATTGTCTTAGTGGGAACATGCTCACATGGAAGTCATAATGTTTTGAGTCCATAATCCACAAACGACGATGACAAGCACCTGACCAAGATCTTCCCCACACTTCCACCTCCCACCATCAAACAACTTCCAAGCCTTAAACAGACCATTGTTCGCAGCAAACCACCCAGCCTTCAGGACAATACTGACCACAACACCACCCAACTCTGTCATGGTAACCTCTACAAGACATGTCAGATCTTTGAAATGAACACTACCATCACACACGGGAACACTACCCACCATGTGCACGGCAGATACTTGTGATTCAGCCAACATTGTCTATCTCATACACTGCAGGCAAGGATGACCCGAGGCATGGTACATCGACGAAACCATGCAGACGCTATGATAACAGATGGATGGACTCCGTGCAACAATTGTCAGACAGGGATGTTCCCTCCCAGTGGGAGGACACTTCAGCGGCCAAGGACATTTGGCCTCGGATCTTCAGGTAAACATCCTCCAAGGCAGACTTTGGGATACACAACAACGCAGAGTTGCCAAGCAGAGGCTGATAGCCAAGTTCGATCCCCATGAGGACAGCCTCAACCAGGATCTGGGCCCCTGCGACCCCACCACACTATACACTCTCACACACACAAACGTACACACACACTCACTCAAACACACTCACACCCACACACACAAACACACACACACCCACACACATGTTCTCTCTCTCTCTCTCTCTCACACACACACTCTCCCTCACGCACACACTCTCTCCCCTCCTCCACACACACACACACTCCCCCCTCATACACACACACACACACTCTGTCTACCCCACAGACACACTCTGCCCCCCACACACACACTCTCCACACCCACCACACATACACACACTCTCCACTCCCCCCCCCCCCC